AGTTCTCATTACCCTAGTCTGATTTGATTGGGAATAAATTAATTTTTTTTCCCCAAGCCGAGTCTGTTTTGCCCATGACAGTAATGGGTGAGTGATCTCTCCCTGTCCTTGTCTCGACCCACCACCTTTCGTTACATTCTCTCTCCCCTGCCCGGCTGAGCAGGGCAGCGACAGAGCTGCTTTGGTGGGCACCTGGTGTCCAGTCAGGGTCAACCCACCACAGCAATTATATGCATGCTGGACTAGAGATGGCTCCCATCTGTCCAGCCCTAAATATTACCAAAGTGACCTGACATCTGTGTGTCCCTGTCACTGTAGACCTGCCAGTAGGAATACAAACTCTTGTTCCTTCTTTCAAGAAATTGTCTGTTTGCACAGTCATGGGAAGAAGGACCTTTTGTATCCCCACATACATCAGAAGTACAGGCCCCACTGACACAGAAAGGGTATTGCTGCAAATCATATAAAGGGTATTGCTCCAAATCATATAAATTTGTGCAAAACTTGTTTACATTTAAGACTTCTGGCACTTTCTGCATGTGAACCAGCAGAAAGACAGTGTTTATATGAAGTGTAGGAAAGAATCCTTTTGTTGGACAAGAATCACTGGCAAGCACCAGGCAACTATTCCCTTTGGGTCTTTTATACGAGGTGTCCTGCAATGTAAAGGTGTTGCAATCCTTCGTGACACACACTAAAAACAATGCACTACACTAATTTTGAAATATTCCAAATTCTCTAAAAGCTTGGGTAACAGGAAAAGAATAATCTCAGTGGATTTCTATTAGTCATCCACTGCAAGATGCCTGGATGTTTTAGAACAAAGTGTACAGACATGTTCAAGGAAGAAAAAAAGGGAAAAGTTACAAACCAGAACTAAAATTCAAGATGGGTAATGAAACTTGCCAAGGCTAAAACTCACCAAACCTGACACTCCTTTCCATAAAACATTAAATCTCTCCACAAAGCATTACATCTTTCAAAACAAATTTCCTATGATAAGATACTCCACACTGAGTAGTGGAGAAACTGAATTTCAAAATTCAACTATTTTTCACTTCTATTGAATGATAAATTATTTTGTTAATATTAATACTTAATAAATAATTTTGTTAAAATAATTATTTTTGTTAATACTTGTTAAATTATTTTACTTCATAAAATTTTTGCACATTGCGTCCTTCCCTCCCACTGTTTGAACCCTTCTGCCAGCATGGGAAGTCTGGCTTTATTTAAAGCTCAAAAGTAACAGCCTGTGTGGAGGAGATGGGACAGTACATATCACTGTCTCTCTCTCATGGCATCTTTGCTCCTACCTTACAGGGCAGAACAATGCACTATTTTAATGGTGTAATACTGCATCTTTAAGCACCACTGCCTCTCAAGTTTTCTACTTTGCCATAGACAACTACGTTACTACTTCACTATTATCTGTCAAGTTGCACATATTCACATAATATTAGCTATTAATTTGAATTTTAAAAAGGTCATTTAATGACTTATTGGTAGCCTCAAACGGAACTTTGGTACCAGTACTGTAATATGGGCTGGGGAAGCATATCCTGTAAATAAACTAAGTGGTCATTTCACAGAGGTTCACAAATTACTGGAGGTTTAAGAACCCATCCAACTTGCATAGGGACCACATGGGCTGAGACAACACCAGCTACTCCAGGTGGCCCAGGGGACTAGCACTATTCCAGGCCTCTCCTCTCCTGGAGACTCTCACACACTACGCATCTTTCCCAGTTCTGACAGATGTGTCTAGATGTACTGTGGTGGGATGGTTTGAAATCAGACTTTCATTTTCTACAGTGGTCTTGGGAATTATTGGTTTGTCATCTACAACCATCTAGGAAGTCTGTAATCACCCACTCTCAGTAAAGCCAAGTTCTGTACCATGTGACATGCATTAATTCATTTTTTATAAGCAATGAAATGCTGTGCCGGGCTGGAACCTCATGTAGGCTATGCAGAGAGATTTATTAGTGATCCTCTGCAGACCTAGTTGGATTCTGGACAAAACTCTTTTTCCCTTCACTTTCTTTCCCCATTCTTACACCTCCCTCAGATGGTCAAAACCAACAATCATTGTTTTATTTAGGGAAAATGCTTTGATTTTGCCAAGCCTGTGCTTTTCAAATTGGAAATCAGGTGGTGAGCAGTATGAAATACTACGCTTCGGTATAGCAACAATCAGTATTGAAATAGATTTGCAGTGTCAGCTCACCCACAACATCTATGTGGTAGAAAAAGAAATGAGAAATGTGCTGATACAAAAGCAATCTATATTTTGACAACTGGCAATGATTATTCTCTTTTCCTCTCTGCCTCAGTGAACATTAAATATAACACCTGAGTATTAATGGGAAAAAACCCAGAAAGGTTGCGTTCAGCCATAGCACAAGGAGGTGCAGCTGAAATACCAGCGTGCCATTTTCCATACCACAGGCAGAGTAATGGTCTGAGCTTCTTACCCTGCAGTTGAGTAGAGTGTAAAGCACATGGTCAGGAGTGGTCTGAGCTCTCCACTGTAATACTTCTGAGAGGAAGAGAAACTAAAATAAAGCAGAGTGATAGTCATGACACTGAACAACATTTTGGCTTTAAAAACCAGATAACTATTTTTGCTATTTAGACTATGTCTGTCTCATTTATATGCTACATTTTACATCAATACCTAGAAGCTGTAAACATGAATTAATTCTCTTGTCATCCCACATATTTATAGCAAGGTGCTTTTGCACAGTAGCAGCGGCCTCTCTGGAACTGAAACCACTGCTGGGATTATGATCTATTACTATACATACTTTCAAAGCGATAAATCAGTTCTTACTGATCACCGAATTTAAGCACTATTTTAATTCTTTAGCTTCCTCTCTTTTTCTTACTATAAATGTATAAATATTTATACAGCTTAGAACTTAACATAAGCCCCCAAAAGAGCTGAATTTTAACTTAATTTTACAGGATCAAAATAACAACAAATAAGGTCAGGACCATATATGAAAACAAAATTCCCTGGACTCCACTCGTACTAGCAAAAAAGATCTAATAGAGAGTGATTTCTGGTAGAAGCCTCATTAACACTTCCACCACATTTGTTCTGTTCCCCTCACGTCTATTTTATATTCCTCTGTAAAGAGGGTTCTGAAATATTTTAGTGTGAATTAAAAAAAAAGCAATCAACAAATTCTGCAATAATAATAAGTAATAATACAATCTATGTACTACTAAGTGTGCTGATGCTAACTAGCTAAATATAAGCCACATCAGAAAAGTTTAGCTTACCTTTCTGGCTTGATCATTATCTTCTATTTGCCCCAAATCTCTACCACTGGCCTGTGCAATTCTTTTTCCAGAGACCAAGTTCCCCACCATCACAGAGGCAGGGCCAATTTCTAGAACAAATCAGAAATGTGCTAAGTGCTTGTGGATGAAAATTCTTTTTATTTCTTTTGCATTACATGATATTTTCCTCATTGCTATCCACAACACCAAACCTTGAGCACATCTCTGTTGATACACACTTTGGTTGATGGACCAGAAGTAGCCGGAAGATATGTAGGGGTGGATTCACCCTCTCTAAATATATCTGAGGCAGCCATTTAGCATGGGCTCTCTATAGCCAGAGACACATCCTGTTTGCTTTGATACGAGGAATCTTTGGAAAATTCAGCTCCTATTTTAGAGATGTCCATTCAAGTGCTTAAAACCAGATAAGATGTATCCAGGCTTCAGGGACAATGTTTCTATTTCTCTCTTCTGTTCCCTGGGCTAAGTTGCATCTGTATCAGCAATTCTGTAATGCTATAGACATGAAGTGGCAAGGATTAGAAAGGCAGATGGTGCATATGATAAAATATATGCAAGCCCTTTAGCACAAGGTAGGGACTGAAGAAGAAGAGTTTAACTTTAGAAGAAAGGAAGATGTCACAGCTGACATTTCTCCATGAGGTGGATTTCACTAATGTTTTGTTGCTGCTGCTAGGGAAAAATACCTGTCTCTCGGATACCGTTTATGCTCATATTAATGTTTGTTAATGTTAACACGAGCACGGATTCTTCAGCATGGATTACTGATTAACTGCAATTGATGCCAGGCTTTCCTTCTAGTCTATGATGCCCAAGCTTCGTCTCAGTGATGGTATGTGGTATAAGTGTCAAAATACGAGATGTGTAAGTAACCAGATAATGTACAATAAACAACATCTACAGACTACTCTGCTTTAAAAAGATGAAAGCAATATCCTCTGGGTATATCACAGGTACGCAAAATGGGAAAATGTGATGCTATCTGTTTGGTTTCTGAGTTCTTGGCATTGTTTTTACCATAGTGATATATAATGTATACATAATGTATCTATAATTATCTCCACTGCACAGATCCTAATTCAATGATTACTTTGTGAAGCAGCAACAAGGAAATACCGAAATGAGCACTGCAGTTAAAGGCTTAATTTTGTAAGTTAGTGGAAGTCACTGTTAACCTCTGACATTCCCAGTATCTGCGAACTTAGATTATGGTTTTGATTTCTGAAACATTAGTCAAAAGGTTTTAAATAAATAAAGAAGCTGACGGTTTTGTCAAACTCGCACTGAATGCATGACAGATAGTTCCCACATCTGAGATCCAGAGGCTAAAAACATTTTCTATTCCAACGTTTTCCTATTCTAAGGTTTCCAGAGTGGAAAGTAATCAACACTTAGTCTAATGTAGCTGAATTCAGGTCTTAAGCCTGAGGCTGCAGATACAGAAATCCTTGAAATTAATCTGAGTAATAAAATCTGCAATTGGATTCAGAGTCTAAAATTTGCTAAAATTTGCTTGTTTGTTGGTCATGAGTAATCAGCAACTGGACTACAGCAGGCTACAAGGGCTTTCTCGGTCTCTTGAGGCAGTGTCTTGCTGTACCATTTCATCCAATATTCTCCATAAAGTGTGGCAGAACTTCTGAAGAACCACCCTAAAACTAGTTAGGGTTTTCCCTCAAATATACCTGCTGTAAGAATAATCCAGAATCTCCCTACTCAGGTAAAGCCTTTATCCTCATTCTTAGATTTAATTTATTCTTGATCAGTTTTTAAGTATTTGCTCTTCTTCCAACACTGTTATTTAGTGTCAACAGTCCTCCTCCTCTCTATTTCTACTTTACAAACTCAGCCTTCAAATAAGCCAAGATTTTATCTTTCACTGTTTTGGTCTCAGTCCATTCTCTTGAAACATAATTGATCATGAATTTACAAAGAACTCCAGGTGTGGTCTCAGCAGTGCCTTGTATAGTGATAAAAATGTCTTCATCTTTACTGAAGTTAGGTTTTTGGAGCATTTTTCCTTGCACTCTTTGTGAAGGTACTTCTAGTTTCTGCTGAATACAATGATGTCCTTAACACACCTGGAATATTTAACAGTAACAGCTGATCAAGCTGATTCTCACTTGTATTAACAGTTTCTTGATTTTGCTCCATACAGTACCGTGAACACACAGCATTAAATGTGTCCACATCCCTTTGCCTTCACTCATCTTACCTGGTTGTTTTTGCCTTGGTTTAGGCAGGTTTGTTACGCAGGTGTGGGGACACATCAGCACGTTACAAGGATGCAGTGATCCTTCCAAGAAGAGCTGTTTGGTTTCTGACAGGTGTATTCCTCCCAGCGGCGTCTTGGGAAGCGTGTTTGCTGGTACGAGTGCTAAGCAGTAGACTCCCACTTGATGAATACTGTCAATAGCCTAAAAAAAAGCAGGAAGTCAATTTTAATGAGAGGCTAATTTTTCATCATTCTAATAAGCACACATTGTTCTGAATTACTGCATAGAACAAGTCTAATAATTAACTGGCAATGGAAAGACACTTCAGCAATGTCAGTGATAAGGAGGTTCTTTTCAGTGGGAACAGGTGAACGGAAATGTAACGCTGATGTTATTACACTCATTCCAGAAGATAAAAAAGCAAACAAAAATCTGGTAATAAATACAGAGGAATCGATTAAGAAATGCTACCTAGGCATCTCTTAGGCACACGTTAGTAGCACGTATACGGGAGATTTATGACTAGCAGATGGGCTAGCAACTCATGTGAAACTGATTTTAACTGGTGCACTTCTCAGAATTAAAGTTCAAAGGATTCCTATCAACTTAACATCCAGTCCATCTTGCAGAGCAAAGAAAAATTTCACAAGTTGCACATATATCACCATATACCTACTGATGTATGTAGCTTATATTTTGAAAAAAATTTTCTAAGATAATCACTGTTTCCCTTCCTGATAACTGTGTAAAAGATGCACAGGCAGGAATGGGAATTGGTACAATATAATGGAAAACTACAAAACTTGAAAAAAAATCTGTTGAATGAAAACCTGAAAAATAAGCATCTTTGAATCTTATAGTAACCATGTTCACGGTCTGACAAGTGGAGTGAATTGCATCACTTTCAAAAGTGTATCATTAAGGTTGGAAAAGACCTTTAAGACCATCAAGTCCAACCATCAACCCAACACCACCATGCCCACTAAACCATGTCCTGAAGCGCCACATCCACACCTCTTTTGAACACTTCCAGTGATGGTGACTTCACCACCTCCCTGGGCAGCCTGTTCCAATGCTTGACCACTCTCTCGCTGAAGAAATTTTTCCTAATATCCAATCTAAACCTCCCCCAGCACAACTTGAGGCCATTTCCTCTTGTCCTATCACTAGTTAGTTGGGAAAAGAGACCAACACCCATGTCACCACAACCCCCTTTCAGGTAGCTGTAGAGAGCGATAAGGTGTCCCCTCAGCCTTCTCTTCTCCAGACTGAACAACCCCAGTTCCCTCAGCCGCTCCTCAGAAGACTTGTTCTCCAGACCCCTCAACAGCTTTGCTGCCCTTCTCTGGACACGCTCCAGCACCTCAGCATCCTTTTTGTCATGAGGGGCCCAAAACTGAACACAGGATTCGAGATGCGGCCTCACCAGTGCCGAGTACAGGGGCACAATCACTTCCCTACTCCTGCTGGCCACACTATTTCTCATACAGGCCAGGATGCTGTTGGCCTTCTTGGCCACCTGGGCACACTGCTGGCTCATGTTCAGCCTGCTTGGCTCATGTTCAGCCACAGTATCTGTGTAATTTACTTACTTAAACATTAATATCCATGCACTTCAGATTTTAACTCCATACGCATTTTAACTAGTTTTTTCCCTCACATTGGTAACAAAAATTGTAGCAAGTTAGAAAAACAACTTCAGATGTCCAAGCAGACTGAGAAACAACTTACAGACAGCATCTCTAATGAGTAGTTAAATGTTCAAAAATATAATTTAACTTGCATTTTAATTTTTAACTGTGAAAAAAGTGAACATATACATCTGTTGCCTTCAAGATACAATCTATATTCTGAGATAAAATAATCAATTATAGTTATATACTAAAGTGTGCACCAATAAGTTACTGATTACTTCCACAGAGACCCTAAGTAATACTTTGCTTTTGCTTCTGCTTGCTTCATTTTCTATTTATTTGATTGCAAAATTTAATAACAAAGAATAATAAAGCAGTTACTCATTTTACAAACATTGCAGTTTTAGTAGTGGTAGATCTCATGGTAGTATTGGAAGACGTCACTGCTGGTCTACAGACATGTTACCTGAAAGATCAGCAACAGCGAGATCAGCAATATGACAGCTAGCACACAATGTCTCATGTTTGTGGCAGAAACCATCACAACCTCCTAATCAAAATGCTATTTGTAGGTTCTGAAAAGCAGTGATAAATCATGGGACCCTCACCTCACATCAGCTTGAAGGAAAACTCTTATGGGGCAAGTAACCATTCTTATGCAAACATATGACAGTGTGGCTCCTAGAATTGGTTGAATGGAAAGCAATACTCAGCTGAGGTGGGATGAGAGGTGTTTATACAGTGATTCCTCAGTGACTTCTGAACTGTCTCCTTTGATAGCTACCTCTGCAGCACAATGCCTGATAAAATGTCATGGGTCATTCAAAATTGTCACCTTTTGTATTTTGGAATTTGGCATGGAGGCAGGGAATGACTTTGTTTTTCACAAGGATGAGGCCTACTGAACTGAGACATAAAATTTTGTGAGATAAGAGTACCAGTCAATTTTAATACTGCTGGCATTTATGCCTCTTGATGAGAAGGCTTGGTTTTTTAAATTACTCAGTCCAGCCAGAAGTAAACAGAGTATCTGAAATCTTTATGGCTCTGCTTCATTCAGAAAACAGATTAAAGATACCAGGACTTGCAGAGTCCAGATTGTTACATTGTTCAAGCTAAGAAAGCATCACATTCTGACAAAATTCTCCAGGCAGAGACTCTCCAGTTCTGCAGGAGATGTCCTAGTTTTGCCTAGTCCTGTCAAGTCCTGCCAGTGCATGGGCACTGGTAAAACTAACATCCAGTCTGCCAGGTACAGGACCCCCAGCTCTGCCTGAAGGGTCAGATCAGTTTGCAGCAGCCTGGGAGATGAATGAGTATCTAGGATCCATCTGACTGAACTGCTGGGTGACCCAGGATCTTCACTCACACTGCCACTAAGATACCGCCCTTCACTACTCTCAAGAAACGCTGTACTTGGCCTGACCACTCCTTCCCAACCATGCCTCTGCTAAAACCCACTGATGCAGTCCAACATAGTTCCATACGCAGAGCATCTCTACCATTCTTATGCCCTCTGCTGAGGAGCAGGAAGAGTCAGAATATGTGCAACCCACTGGAAAAAAGTTCTGCAGATAGATGCAGCTCAACTCTAGGGAAGTGATGCACAGACACAGCGAGGCACAGCCGAAGCAGGCAGCATAGGGCAGGGCTGGCACAGGGCAGCACACACAGAGTGTCAGTCAAGTCTCACAAACATCATCATAAATGAGTTACAATTTGGTAGAGTTTGTTATCATGGATGTCATTGAGAGCCATGACACAAGTGTGGTATCATTGTGTTGCTCATCACTAGCAGATGATTCAGATACAACTGGTTACCATTTCCTGACATCTGTCATTAAAAGTCTGATTGGGAAGGAGGCATAAAGCATCCCACATGTTCCTGGCTTCTGTCCTCCATCTCCGCTCTCAGCTGAAATTCAATGAGAAACTTCCTGTTCACATAGTGACGGCATGCCAGAGTTGCAGACTTCACACATGGGTGACGAAAGCAGCCACACGTGTACTTTGCCTACCATTCTCAGACACTGCTGTGACTTGATCATACTCAGAATAACAGGATTGACTTTTGGCAGGAGTAACTTGACACAGGACTCCCACAGTGTTCAGTACTGAATTCTACTGACTATGATCGTGTAAGACATGATTTCTGTAAAAGTCACAAAAATGCTCAGCTGACAAAACAAGAGAAGTGTAAGTCTGGAGTTTCAACCTTTTCTTTAGGAGCTTGCTACTTGATAAAAATTATCAAAGCACGGGCAATCCAAAACCTTTTACTTCTACAATAGTTGCCCTATGTGCTACTAGGTGCTTCAAAGGCTTTCTGTGTGATGGACAAGCTGGAGGTTCTAGCTTTTCTCGGTAATAATTTATATCTACTGTGAATATGAGATGCCTCTAGCTGTATGAAATGTAGCTATCTTTTAAATCAAGAGAGCAAATAAACCTGTCTTGAGATGGATGAAAGCTTATTTGTTCAGCTTCTTCAAGGATACGGTAGACCAATTCCCTTTCTTATTCAGTACAAAGCAATAATGAGTAAAAACATCTCTGAATTGTGTGGGATCTTTTTCTTTGGCTCTTGGGTAAAGCAAAAAAGATGTTTGCAATATATTTACCTGAGAAGAGTCCTTGAGGAAGGACAGAAAGGAAGGTAGGAAAGGAGTGGAAGTAACACGTGACCAGCTGTAGACAGAGCTGAGACCACTTCACAAGGTAGCAATAGACAGACTTAATTTGACTACATCTCCATTAAGCTTGTTGCTTTTGAGTGAGAATTGCCTTAACCACAAAGATGGAGGAGACGGAAGATGACTGCTATCTAAAGTATCTAATTTTTTGTGTGTGGACATCAGAGTTGAAAAAACTTTGAATATAGTAATGATATTGCCCTAACTTGGACTGCTATATGTAAGGAGAAGATCAGTATTTTTTATTTTTCAGTAGCTTCTGTCTTCTGCTCAAACTGTCGAACACCACCACCAAGGTGTGTTTCATCACAGTGCTATGTGCCTTGCATGATCCACAAGACAGCTGGAATGGGATTCCTTGCAATAAGCATCCTCTATGCAGATAACCTCATTGTAGGTACCTAGATCTGAGCTAATCAATCACTTCATTTCAGTAGAGAGAAATCAGCATTTTTAGGCTGTGTTTCATTCCGTTTATTTTAGCTGTCATCATGGTGCACTAATAACACATAATTCTCTCCGCCTGATTAAAAAAAAAGATATCTGGATATCTAGTTCAGATACATATACCTACTTTTGAAGAGGTCAACTCCATATCAGTGCCAATGATACGGAGTTTAGTAAGAGACTTTGGTAGCTTTTGAGAGTAAGAGTATATAATATATTCATTCATGACTCTCTTGAAGTAATGAATGACTATATCCTTATAAAACATACACTACTCTGTCCTTGCTATTACTTACTTCAATTCATCCCTGTTTTCTTAGAGCATTTTGATTAGGAAAAGTATCACTCTCTGGATATGGGCGGCCCAGACAGGAACTGTCACTCAGAAGAATCTAATTTTGTGCTCATTAGGGGCAAGTGCAACTGAAGGTGGACTTAAAACTACTCAAAAATAAATGTCAGTTACCTTGGGGGCCTGAAAGATCAATAAAAAGAATATAAAGCAGGAAATATAGCTTCGAAACATATGTAAAGAGCATTACCTGGAGAACTCTACTCATCCATTGAAAACTGTCTTCCTCTGTGGAATCTGGTCTTTGTTCAGCAACAATAACTATCCTTTCATCGTGCAACACGCTCACTGAAAACACTGCTATTCTATAGAAGAGAAGGATAGAAGACTATTTAGTGCCAGGACAGATGAAAAAACCTGTCTTCTAAGATAATCTTTCATAAATACGGTTTTGTTATTTGTTACTCAGATAACGAGTGCACCAATTAGTATTTTATTTATGGGGAAAAAGCAACATGAACAATTTTGGATAACTTCTGGAGGTGAAATAGGGGTCTTTGTTCTAGAATCATGTAAATACAGGCATAATGTCACAGCAGGGTTGGAGAAGTGAACCTTCTTGGGACCAGAAAAGCACCAAATTTCGTTCACACCAAGGTTGTTAAGCTATTATAGAACAGTCAGCTTAAACACCTTCTTTGTCCCCATCTTAGAAGAAAGTAACTGCAACATCATTTTGTGAGAGGTCTGCCACATGATCAAGTGTGAGTGCATGTTACTGCATTAGGCTCTTCAGAAGTTTTAGATGTTTCCTGCTCACTTTCAGCACATTAGGAAGGTCACACAAGGAACCACTGCCATGTTCAAGAACTTCAGTGTTAGGCATATTGGAAATGTTCAACTCAAACAGAAAGGATCCTGTTGAGTCAACACCTTCAGAATTAACCAGCTGTTCAACTGGAAATATTAATAATCATGATTTTGGACCTTGGTATCTAAAGTCTGCCTCAACACTGTCTTAGGCTTCCCTCTACTGTCTCCTCGTTCTAGCAGTATGAACAGCAATGGAGGGAAACCACAGTGCAGATTAGGCACCACCTTCTGGAAGCATTTTGGGTCACTTACACCTGGTCTAAGCAAAACAAGGATTTCTACATAATATAAGAAAAGAAAGGATCAAACCTTCCCCTGTAGACAAATTTCATTGGTTCCACGGCCAATGCTGTTGCTACAATGTCATCAGCATTATGTCTTCTTCCACTGACAACCATCAAACCATCCATTTTGCCGATAACAAAGACAAGTCCACCTGGTCCTATAAAGCCCAGTAGTCCAGTCCTTATAAAAGGATATTCAGTGATAGGGCCACCAGAACTGGTCATGGGAAACACCTGTAAGACAGAGAAACACAGGTCTTCAATTCTATACACAGAGACCATGCTGCAAAATATTTCTGACGTGCTCTCTCAGATGGCTCTTTGGGAATGAAGTAGATAGGTTGCTGGTGATGCTCTTTACTCTTCACTGACCATAGAGAGTGTCAGGAAACTCCTAGACTAGCGTGTGTAATTTTCCACACCTGTGTTCCAGCAAGTTCAATCACACTCCATTTACTACATGTTTTCCCTAACCGTGGCTCTGTAAATCATTTATGACCTTAAAAAAATACATAAATCAACAAAAACAGTAGTGAATTAAAAAAAACACTCTACAGAGTGCAGCTAGCCTGAGGTGCTATGTATAGGTTACTGAGAGATTAAACTGCAAACATTACAGCAGGGGTTCTTTTTAGTACTTCATGCTCGTTTCCAGCACAGTATACAGAAAGAAGCAGGCTAGAAATTAAGCTTTTTTAAGGTACTGTACTTCAATGACTCTTGCAGCTGACCACATTTTTATCTAAGGTCAATTAAGTCCTCACAACTCCAGTGATAATGTCTCCTGTAGCATGTCTAAAAGTGAAAATACAGCCCTATACAGAGCCTCCCTAAATGTTTGAACACCAGACACGTTCGTGACTTCCACAGGATTGATTTCTACCGCTATTTCTATCCTAACTAACACAGCATTATCTGCCCGGCACGTGAGCTACTTTGAGCTGCATTCTGACACAACCACACTTTCTTGTCGTTGTTTTTCTCTAAACCGAAATAGTCTAAAGGGAAGTTATTTAAGACAATGGCAAGTGGAAGACCATGGCTATACAGTCTCCTTCAAGACTAATCTAAAAAGAAAGGTCAAATTCTGCTGCCAGATGCCCATGGGTGACTGTTATTGAACAGATTTAAGGCTTATACCTCCTCAGCCATAATTCATTTCAGGAACACAAAACTCTTTTATTCTCTTAGAGCTGCAACGTGAATTACACAGTAAAAAAGGTGGCCCACTTGGAGAGGACTCTTAAGAACAAGTTTAACTTTAAAAATGAGTGGTCTTGCTCATTCAATGGCAATTTCTTTGCTTACCATTAGGAATAAGTCTAAATATGCTGTTAAACTGCAGATCCAGTTATGAATTATGAATGATTTTGTAATTACAGGAAGTACTACAAAATGAACGTTAAGTACCTTTCTACCCCGAAATATGTCAAATCCAGGATTATCATTCACACTGGGTATTGCCAATTGTACTTGTGGCACAGTAATCAGCTATCCACAAATTTCAGATCACAACAGCATAGTAGGCTTCCTGGCTTCGATAGCAAGATAGAGAATCGTATCCACTAGTCTCCATTAATTATTTAATGTATAGTGTTTACAACATTCAGATTTGCATTTTGCAGGAGATACTAGTCATGTTTGGCCTGTTAAAAATTGTAATATCAAAGCATTTGTTAAGGGAAATGTAAATGTATTTTTCTTTTTTCTCAAATATGAGAATAGAAAAGGTTCAGAACTTAAGAAAAATCTCAGCTCAAATTTTTTCAGTATTATTTCTCTGATTTGTTCAGCCTTTCATACTGGCTTCAGCAGAAGTTAATGATAATGAGTGAACACGTACAACAGAGCTATCAATACAGCTGTCTGCACTGGAGCTGAAGCCTACTGGAAAACAGATTCCACAAAGCAAAAACGCTTTCACCTAAGGCAATTCAAACAAAAGCAGGTGGGGACTAATTAGGAAAAGGTATCTGCTATTCAGATACCTCTTGAAGGCTACATCTGTCAGGATTCTGTATAAATGCAAGCCTTCAATGCTGGCTGTGTTGTGGAAATGTTGGAAACTGCTTTTTAGAGATATCCAGCAGCCTTCCTACTGTTCGCAGCAATCGAATTCTGCACATACCTAGCTCATAGACTTGTACAGTATTACCTTTTGAACTTATGTCTTTCTTCCTGCTTTCCTTCTGATTGTTTCAGCCCCTGGTATATTCTTTCAAAATTAAAGTAAAAGCTCTTCAGAGCCAAAATTAAACCCATGTAATGAGCTACTATTGCACTTAATGAAATGGGCTTCAGTGCAGATTATATGGCTAGAGTACAGGTCCCAAGCCACAAGCATTGATTATTACTGCTATTCTGATACTATTACTATCAATATTTTTAATGTCAAATATTATCCCAAAATAGAAAAAGTTAAAAAGGAAGGATTTTATATAGCAATTTTTGGTCAGCTTACCTCAAAAGTATTTTTGGTCATGCCTGAGAGTCCATAATATGATGTACCCGTTGCAATAGCACATACACAAAGTTCTCCTATTTCATCTGTTTTACAGAGCTGAGGAATTCCATCTGGCTTCACTGAACACATTATAGCTAGAGGGAGAGCAAAGGACTTTAAAAAATATTATAAAATGAACTACAGAATAACATAAATGCTGTGGTAAAGACATCATGGTGGAGTTGACATAAATAAATTATATGTAGACTAACGTCTAACAATTGGTTTCTCAAACTTTAAGGTCTTCAACATTATCAAGTGTTATTTACATTATAAATGATATTTATACAAAGAATACAAAGATCTTTACATAAACTCAGTCTTTACACTGATAACAAAACCTAATTTGCCTTGCTCTCTAAAATTTCAGTTGATCTGTAATATTGCTGTGAAGTGTGATTGTGTTCCCAGTTTTGTATACTGAAGACCAGATTTGCTGCAGTCAGTGCAAAATGCAATACCCTAATGGAATTCTTGATAATAATTATACTGCCAGGGAGGCAGGCAACCAGGAAATCCACCTCTCACAAAGTAGCAAGTAACACCATATGAAAGATCAAGATATTCAAGCAGACTAGCACAGTCATTTTACTAAGAATTTATCAGAGCTCAGACTCCCTCTCACCGGTCTTACAGGACTGCAGAGACAGCAGGAGCTAAACAGGAGGGATTAGAAAGCACTGGTCCAAGGAAGAAGCACTATTTTATGTCAGCCATGTGAGTAAGAATCAGGTATGCTGCTTTAGCTATAATCCCTGGAGCTAGAGTCCAGCATGTTTGGATTTTGCAGTTAGAAAGAGGATATGATGAACAAGGGAGACCAGAAATGAATCAGCACGTCTTTTAAGTACAAGTGTAAAGAATTTTGAATGACTTTTCTCTCACTCTGAGGATAAACAGGAGTTTAATAAGATCAGAATATAGTATTAAGTGCAAGATGGCACATCATTAGTAATATCTTATCTGATAACTATTAGACAACAACCACTCTTTTCTTTCTTTAAGTTGTTCAACTGAAATCTTATAGGATGCATCATTATGTTTTATTCCTTCAGTGCATAACAGATGTTCTCTTATGAAAAACTAGGGTATTATCCTTTTCTAGTCTCTGTAACATCTCATTTAAAATCTAGCTCTCATGAAAAATCTTATCTCCATCTTTAGAAGCACTGGTTTGATAAATTCAGTTTGAATTTATCAACATGTACTGTTCAGTCATACCTCCTCTTTCTAATAAAGAGGTCATAGCACAGGATTTTGGAAAAACATTCTGCAAGATAGCAATTTTGTTGACTGTTAGCATAGGTTATTAAAACTTTCACTACCAAGAAGTAGTAGGGTCAGGCTTATGGATATTTATAGCCTACATACATCAGAATCCAGCTTTCTTATTTTCTATACCAGTATCTCTCAGTTAAAGAACGGATGTTCTGATATGGTGACAGGTTGTTTAAAGCACGCTGCTAATGCAAGTAAAGACAGTCACTGAGGTAAACACGGAGAAGAAATCTTGGGATTTCCAAACCATGAAGTTTTACACGGTAATGCTTTTGGACTAAAATGTTTTCAAGTACACATGTTCTAATCCCAAAGCTTGTGGTCTAACAGCAAAGTAAGCCTACCTATGACTTTCTGCAGCTAATTACTTAAATTGATGAAACATGGGAGGCTCAAAGAAAGTTCCTTACCTCCTGGCATCACTAAGCCAACATCCTGGACAGTCAGAACGGAAAGCTTTTCTTCAGAGTCCACTCGAATCACTCCGTAAGTGAGACCATGCATGGACAGAACTCCTCTGCCTGGTGGTTGATTGCTGTCATCTGTTGGCCTGCAACCATGGGTCATAACATCAGTGTACCATCAGGCAGACGTAAGCATTTACTTATTCTTAAGGGACTACAATTGCAAATACTCCTCTATTTGACAGTTTAAAATTTAACCTTCTTTTTTCCCCTACTAGACCTGACAGAATCCTGTTCTTCCATCATTCCTGAGTCATTATGTCTGTGAGCTCTCCAATTCAGTGGCCACCCACATGTATGGGCATGTAGACATGAAAGTAACACCTAACATTTACCTAAAACAACTTGTATTTAATTCTCAGATAGATTTATGAAGATTGTTTGACTACCCAAGTAAAGGCCTTTTGCCTTGTTTTAAAAATATTGAAAGGCAGTGCAAACGATGTGGAGGGAAACTGCTCTCTAAATATTTGGAACTGATCAGTAAATAACTCAATAAAATCTCTATGTTACCTACTTCGGGGCAACCTAGGAACCAAACTCACCTGCCAGACTAAAAGCCTAATGCTAGCACACTGGTGTCAAAGTCAAGATCAGAATACAAGTATGCTGTGTTTAAATAACAGATATGACTTCCCACTCCCAATACTTAAGCATTTAAAATTACTAAACAGAAGAAATTACGTTGTAATAGATTGACTGCCAAGTACCTGTGGAAGCTGCAAGGACTTTACCACCTTTATTTTAGTGTATATAATTGAATTCTTCCTATCCTACTTTACACCATGAAAATTAAAACAAAGTACACCTTCATCAGTCATGGTCAAAATGTTGTGGATGCAGCCTCTTTGTAACACCTCAGTTTGCTCAGATCCACTGCCGACATGCTGTACAATTCCACCGTGTCAGTAAAAGCTGTCTGTCAACTTGTTTCACATTATATGTATTGCTTTAGCAAATGAATGTTGACGTATGCAAGTTATTAAGTCAAGGGAATACGTGAGGGCTTTTTGTGTCTGGAAAGATTTTTACACTGTCCTGCATTTTAATATGCAAAACTGGAAGCTAACATGATGCTGATTTGAGTGTGGATAATGCATCCATGTAGAGCAGCCAGACCCCAGCTATTCTCAAGATGGATAAAACAGCCAATATTTAGTTCAAGATTCTGCATTTTTCCTAAATAGTCCATCATAATACAACTATTTTTTAGCAGCTAATGTCCTTTTATATGACACTTCTCCTCTACTGTGCTTGAAATACTAGGCGGGCCTTAGCCAATCATGGTCACGTAAGCCTTGCAGCGATCGGCACTATAAATTTCAATTAATAGGTTTTACGAGGCATATTTCTCAGGTGACATTGTCAACAAAGAAGGATGTGGGTACGCTTGAAAACACATTAGAGTATAACAAATGGTGTTAGTAAACAAGCAGCTGTGATAAATAATATTCCCATCATGTAAAAGGAACTTTCAGAGATGTTATTGATCAACTTCCTCTCACTCTTGCTCCTCAAAACACACATTTTACTGCTCATGAGAAGAAAGGCCTCCTGCAGGCACATGCAGCTTCTCACCGCCTTGATCTAGACTTCATACTTCAATCACATACATTTTCTGGCATTACTTATCACATCCAAAGACTGTTCAAAAGAAGAGCGGATGCAGCTTGGAAAGACACTGGCTGTGTACAGGACAGGGGTGCAAGGGCAGGAAGCTGGAGGGACGATCCTTTCCACTAGGATCATGATGGCGGATTTGTCAATAGAGCTACGCTTGCTGTGGGCTGGGGTGAGGTAACAGCTTTTCCCAGGTTAGCAAGAAGCGCCGTGCAATGGAAGTAGGTGGGTAGAAGGAAAATGTTGGTGCTGAGGACCTGGGGTCCACAGGACAGGCATTTCTGAGCTGCTATTTCAGAGTACTTCTGGTATCCTGGTAGTCTGAGGTGGATCCTTGAATGAGACACCAGTTAACAATGCTCAAGTCTCCTCTTGCAGGCAACTAGCTATCTGACACCAAAAGCGAATACAGTCAGAGGACCAGGACAGAGGAGTGAGGTGGGGAGCGAAGCACCCGGCAACACCTATACATCCTCTTAGGAAGTATCTTGTCACACTGACCCTGAAATATATGGTATCTTATATTGACCCGTGCATGATACACACATGGGAACAACCCGAAAACAAGTATCTCTGCCAAGCCGAAGTAGAGAAATCACTTGGAAAGAAGATGTGATATAAATAACCCCATTCCATTGTATTTCTAATTTATTTTAGAGTTCACATTTTTTGTTTTCTTTACACATTCAATATTTCTAATACAGGATTTGGAATTCTGTAAGACTGCTTGCTAGACAAAGATAAATCCTTTGATTAAGGTAGAAGCAACTGAACAAAGGTATAATTCCACCTACCTCACATACCAAGTAAATTTAGCTTAAACCACCAGACAAACTTACTCCTTTAGTTTCTCTTAACCATGAAAAAGGGACAAGGTGCACCTACTTCAAGCCTGGTTTGTTCATACTTAGTAGCCATAGAGCATTTTGAGAACAGTTTACTACCATTTACTGATACAATCTATTTTGCCGCTATTTTTTCCCATATGTTTAAATGGGAAAAGAGCTGTTCTTAAACTTTTGCACTCCCTTAAGCAAGTGGGTTCAGACTAATATGCAATAAACCAAAGGGGAATACCATAAAGAATTACTTGTATGACACATTCCTTTAAATATTAGGCTTCATGATTCAGCTCTAAGGCTATTACTGACTGTCTTTTTCTAAACTATAAGGGTATTTCATCTGAGAACTAGTTCTGTTACTCTTCCTTGTAGGAAGATCAGTAAAAATGCACCATAGATTTTGAAAGAGTCAGAGCATTAACAGGGAGCTCTCTGGATCTCTGCTCTGCGGGGAGTCGTTCTAATGCATACTTCAGCTCTAACTCTTTGGAACTTGTATGATAATGACTTTACTGTCAGTAGAGACGGCTTGAATAAAATGAAAAATACTAAAGCTCCCAAGTTCAGCTGGCATTATCCTACCATTAAACAGACCTCAAAAAAAGGAGATATGTGTTCAGTAACATTCACTGTAGGAAGAACTGCTCTGTAATTACACAGCAAGGCAATGAAGATAAAAATGTCTTTTTTTTTAATTATCTGCTATTTTATGAGCTAATTTTTTTTTTTAATGTAAGCTCTCAATGCTAGTTGATTTGAAAATCAATTTCTAGTGCTTCAGAGGGCTACAAGGATAGAGTTTAAGTCTAGAAAGGGCACGCCGGCCTTTGGACGTTGAGACACAGTGAGTTCTCGCATTTCATAACCTGCAATTTGGGGCAGATTTTCCAGGGTTAGCACAGGAAATGAAAATCCTCTCCCATTAATGAGTGCTCAGCACAAGCAACGTCTGCTGCCCATCCATCTCCCCTCTGCACTTACAAGCAAGAGCTCATTCCAAGGGAGCAAAGGTCTGGCACAGCCTATGGCAAGGAAACCCATCACAAGGGAAAAACAATGTACTTCTTGGTATAAAGCTAGTGGAGCTGAATGAAGGGCTCTCTGAGACCCTGTAGTTCACAGAAAGACAACTAACCTGGACAGGATAAGCCCCTGGATGGCTAGCTTTCAGATGTTTTAAGCTAATAATTAGGTGGCTGAAAATCAACCACACTCTTGGCCTCTTGTCTTTCTTCCTGTGATGTTTCGTTGGAAAGCTAATTGAAAATCTAGTTAAATTTCACTTGGACAGTGTATTTTAAACTTTGTGGCAGGAAGTATTTTAATTAATGCTATTACAGTGCTTGACACTTTTATACTGCATGTTTTAACATGTGAAACAATTATAAATGGCTGCAGAAATCTGAACTTAAAAACAAAGTGCCTACTGTTCAACGTACGACTTTTGGAAAACTCTGCCAAAACAGACAACAGTTACGCCATACATTGTGCCACAACACTCATGACAGGCGACTGCTGCACACTGACATTCATGTACATAAGGCTTAATAATTTTATGAGAATTTATCAATTTTATTTCCAGGCACAAATCCCCCAGACTCAAAGGGCATTTCCAGATGATTACTGAGAGTCTATGAATAGTTAAAAAGCACCAGTCAGCCAAAAACAACCTGCAGAATGTCATAATTCTCTTTAAAGAGACTACTTTAAAGCATGATTTTCCTTGATAGCAATTCCACTTAAATTCCCACAGTTTAATTAATTTTATGCTTATGATGGCATTTTTCCACTTCTTTTTACAGAATTAGCTTTTGCATTTCAGACTATTTAATTTAAAGTTAGATAAAATTACAGAAATGGGAACTATATTATAAAGCACTCTGAAGTGAAATTACTACTCTACAAATTCTTCTTGTATGTCTTCTTTGGACATAAGCAAAATGAAAACTAAAAATGTCATTCAGAAGTTAGTTATGCAGATTCATACTTGGACAAGGTTTTCCTTTCTTTACAAGTTACCACATATATTCTACAGTGGGTCTATTTCCACTGGTGTAACACAGTACCTTCGAATAGCCACAGTGAGAGCTTCTGGTGAACTAGCGCAGGGACAAATGACCTCCTGTCTTAGACCTTTACTTTGGAAGACATTGAGAAATGCATCACAGGAAGAAATAGACCCTGGGGTAAAGAAAAAAAACATCAGAGGAGAAAAATAATCTGATTTCTGAAGTGATGCTATTCAAATTGCAAATTTACTATTGAATATATAGGCTTTGCAGGAGAAAAAATTTAAAAAGGACCCATGTCCACTGGGAAAGAAGTCATAGCTGCTACAACTACATATATGTATATGCAGTTGTGCATGCATACAGAGAGTAAAGACTAATGTTTGAACATAAAGTACTTTCACCATGCTTATGTAGAAAAGCCATTACTGCCAGATTTACAATATGAATTCCATTACAGTTTTATTTTTTAGGATGAGGCAAATTAAAGATTTCATTCAGAAACTCAAAGCAAACTACTATAGACAAGCAGACCACCTATACGTTAGTATCTTAAATAATACAGAGAAACAGTTCATGATATGAATTGTCATGAAATGACCGAGATGTGGTTCTCCAGAGTAGGATAAGTATTCCCCTAAAATTCTCAGTTACTTCTCCATCTGAGCACCATCACTCTGAAGAAATGTTCTGATCCTTTCTATAGCTTAAGGTTATTTACTTCAGTCTTTATACCTGACTGTCATGTTAAACAAAACTGGATTTACTGCAACTTACATTATGTGGAATATCAAGTTTGCTTCAGGATTAGGTAAAGAAAAAAATATTTTTAAAAAATGCAAAACTAATTACTGTTTCCATAAATATCATATAGGCTGCAGTAGACAAACCCCATACTTTGTAAATATTTAGCTAGGATGACTGAAGATTGAAACATTAAATGCAAGAGAAAAAACACTTTCTATTCTCTATTGGACTGCAGTAACACAGCTTACATGGGTTTGCACCATCAGCCACTATTAGCATACGCAGTGAGGAAAGGTTGATGTCTCTCTGATCTCGATGTGCCACCAATGCCCAGTGCATGTCTCTGGATTTTACACAGGCAACTTTTGCTGCAACAAGAATGGGAGGATTACTAATACACCATATAAAAGCTACACAGCTGTATTATCAATTTGTACTTTTGATTTTGACTATCAAGCATACTTTCATATGTTCTTGTTCCTTACCTTTATATTGACAGACTTTTTGTATCCACGACAGTGGATTCACTTTCATTAAGGAGTATGGAATACTTATAACATGCATCATGTTCATGACACTCTGAAATCAAATAAGATAAATGGGTTTTATACAACAACTGCGGTAATTATTTATATTGTGTTATAGGCAGGGGCATCTATGCAAATCACTTTATGCTTTTTTTATTGTCAGTGCTGGCATTTATCTTTTCCTATCTAGCTATCTACACTAAGATGAAACAGACCCCCATTTTCTAATGCTTTAATTAAGGATTAAGGATTTAGACTAATCAGATCATAACTTCGAAGCAGTACTGAAAAAAATTAAACAGATTTGCTATTTATACTCTAAGCAATTCACTTGAAATAGAAAAAAAACCAAAACAAAACATTGGATGAACAATGTCTGCATGTTTGCTATGTAGGTTAATATTATCCTGAAGCCTGCTACACTTCAGTATATATGAAGACTCTTTACTCAAAAGGACAAGTAACAGCAACATATCTGTCTAAAGAAATCCATCGCTGTGAAGACTGAAAAGCTACTAATGGTAGTGAGGCACAAATTATTTAAAAGACCATAGAGAGAGAAATAGGAATCATAGACTAAGCAGAGATCAATTTATCCTATCAGAAAATAAATGAAGGCGTTTTTAGTCCTTCTCCAGGTGGCCTCATTTTCAACAAGTTCATGAAAAGTTGTAGGAAGTTTAGAAAAAGCAGCTGAGTAAAACCAATGACGGATCCAAAACTGATCTCCCAGTCTGAGGCAGTCAATTGCTTTAGTGATTTCTCAGTGTTTCTAGTAAACAAACAGCCTGTAAATGAGCTGCTGCTTTACTTCTGTTACCATTTAGAAACATATTCTGAGGGCAACACGTCTCTGCTCATAGCAGCTCAGGTTAAATACAGTATTTGTTTTGGAAAACCTAGTCTTAAGAAAGGTTAAGTGCCCCAGTGGATTAGTCATCTAAACACTCCTAGAACTGTGAAAGATAGTTCTCCTTTCAGTCTCGCACAAGTGTAGGTACAGGAAAAGCACTTACAGGCAAGTCATGAAAAAAATGAAGATTAATAGCAAAGGCAGGCATAGAAAAGCTCTATTAGATGTTTGCTTTCAACTTCAGTGATAAAGATGGTTTTTTAACATGAGATACTTATAGTCGTTAAGCCTAATAGATCCTTTCTGCTTCAGAAGTGTTATTACTGCCCTTTGATACTAAGAACAGTATAACACTGCATAGGAAAAGTACATCAGATCCCTGGGAACCACAGCATGTATGCTGGGAATCATGTCATCCTGGGACCCCCAAAGAGTGAACCTTTAAAACTTGCTATTTGTTCTTAAAAATGATCAGTGAGTAGTTAAGTATTTTGTCAGTCATTGACTGCAGCAGTACCTTTAGAAGCAATCGTTAAAAATATGTCAGTTGCCTCCCATGTCAATTGAGAAAGACATTCAAACAGCCAGTAGACAAAGTATGCAATTTAAAGTATCAGAAAAGCTTTAATGTTAGCAAAACCATCTGTTGGTGGGAGTTTTGATAGAGAAGTGACAGTGGTCAGTGACAATATAGCTATGCCATTGGATCATATCCTTACAGAGGCAAGTACTAATTTAATTTGTTTCCACTATAAAGTCTGATCTCAAAATTATGCACCAGTAAGATCAGAATAACATGGTAAGAATGGGGCCAGCATACCGTGCACATTATGGTTAAGTGCACTAGCAGAAGATCACGAGTTTAAGTCACATATTTATTGCTTTCAAAGCAGAAAAATTTGTATTAGAAGAAACTGTAGGACATCTCAGTTTGTGACAGTAATAAGCATATTAGGTTAGTTTATTTTCAAATGCTCAGACAAAATAAAAAAACATACTTACTGTAAGAATCCCATGCCATAAACCAACATCCTTCTTGAAATCTAATACATTCACAATTGTTTCAGCTGTCCAACAAAAACAAAACAGAGTTTATTTTTTAGAACATGGCATCAACCCAAGGCAAACCCACTCAAAGGAAGGAAGCTTCAGTATAACATGACTGATGACCTCAAAGCTTAACGTTCATAGTAAGTCTCCGCTGCAGGATTTGTATTGGCTAGGAAATTATTTGTACCTCTCACAAAGGTATGTTAAACGTGTACATATTTTCTAAAACCAATGAAAAAAAAAATCAGGTTTCTAAGTCTAGAAGTCTTTGAAATAGATTTATGTAAAACATGAGACAGGAGCCTGATGAGAAACAAATTACAATTCACACTTGATTTTAAGGGTGAAGAAAGGGAAGTGTACTCCATACCTTCTGTGTATCCACATGCCTGGGTCAGAGCTTGGCAGTGTGTCAGAAGTGCAATCCTTGTCACAGTCACCCCAAGCACGCTTCCATCTTTACATGTTTTGTACTAAAAAGAAATAAGCAGGTAAAGTCAATGTGCAATACTTGCCCTATTTCCATTATTCAATACCTACATTTAAAATGTTTCCTATGTAGGTGAATGATGGACACATCTAATGACTCTATCTTAAGAAACCAGCAGTATTGAGGAGCTTGGGAGGCATCTTTCTGTTAAAAAGACACTTTTTCCAGATAGGCTTTCTCTTTTTGACTGAAGCTTCCCAGGCTTGATATCAGAAGTCCATTTGCTGTTTGAATACAGGCATTACGGAAGAATAATTCTAACAATTCTGATCACATTAATGACTAAAGGACTGGCTAGATTTAGCAGAGAATAACCTAGTTCAGTCTGCTCAGTGTCCACACGTTAGATTTTATAGGCCAACCAATAAACCTGAGCTGCTCCCTTCTGTGTCTTATAAGGCATGTGATAACGGCTGACTGCAGAATCCTTGCTAGATGCTGTTATAATAATCCATACGTATACAGTCTGAAAGACACAAGCTCTTTGATCAGAAGAATATAAAAGAGTCATGAAAGAGAAGCATAAAAAAGAGGTAGGAGATCATTGCTGATGACTGCAGCAACTTTTGCAACTTTATGTAAGAGCCTGAAAACTATCAGTGGTAATTAAAGTAAATTAAATATTTATCTTTCTCCATGATGAAGATAATCAGCAAGATTGAAAACGGAGGCATCTCTGCTTCTCTAGTCCAGACTGTGCAAAGACAGGAAATACCTTTGCTCCATCACTTGAACTTATTCCCTCTGAATAATCATTTAAATTCAATACTAACATCACTGAATTTGAGGCATTTAAGTCTATGCAGAAGTGGGAAAAAAGAATGGAAAAAAAAAATGAGAAAAATTGAATTTAACAGTATTGCTAATCTTCCCTTTCTGATGCTGGTCTTTTGTGGGGAGTGTGACTCACAAAGCAGTGACAGGCAAGCATTTGAACAGAAAGTTCCTTCTCTTTCAAAGGGTCTGAAGGTTGTGATATGAGAACTGAAATTTCACTGTGAAACTTCCCACCTGCCCATCTCAAGGCTAGTGGGCAAGCCCACACTGTGAATGAGACCAATATTGGTCAAGGCAAGTTTAATATAATATTGTGGCAGCCACATAGATGATGTAAAAACATTAATGTTAGCGACACCCAAAATGCAATTTAACATTTCATTAACTTTTCTGAAATCAATGTCCAGCATAATTTATTAGAAAATATTACTTATTAACAGGCTAAACCAGGATGTTCTTTGCCTCTCTGACTAGTGAATGAATAATGATGTTTACCTAATCCAGAAGTGCCATATGCAATGATTTGAGCAGAAGATGCATCTTCATTAACTCACCTCAATGTAAGCTGTGTCATTGTTTGCATCCTTGATGTGTGGGAACCAGTCACGAGGCGGCTTGGAGAGATGTTTAGACTCTGTGACAAACCACAGCAGTTTTGGCCAGCCTGAGGTACAAAGAAAAGTCAGCTTTTTGTTGAGTTTCTGCTGGATAAGACAAGACAAAACTCTCCTCTGTCGGAGGGTTTTTTTCCCAAATGCCTGTGTCACCATTACCTAAACATTGCTTCTTTTAAACCTCAGCACAGCATGAGAAAGAATATTTTTTAGAACTGCTTTCTTAATATGGCTATCGTGGCCTTCTCAGACAATCCCTGAAGAAATGGCTGGGCAGTTTAAGCTGTTATTGACCCAAATAGTTTATTACCACTCTCCTGTCAGAGGTTACTGCGCCTATCATGTAGCTATAGGACTGAACTGTACAAATGCTTCTCACCTACTACAGTCCTAAGTCTGTTGGTTTAATTTCACTTGTGGCAACAGATGATCTCAGCAGCCCGGCTGAGCCAGCAGGGAACCAGATCAGGAGCAGTCATGCTGCTGAGGCGGGAGCAGCGATCTCTACCAGACAGTGACACACAGCTGGGGCAATCGCGCCCCAGCAGCCACGGCTGCTCCTGCGGCAAGGGTTTCAGCACGGGCCTGATCCTCACCCGCTACAACTAAACAAGTGCAATGGCTGTTATTGTAGTAAATGACCTGTGATATCCACGATAAGCAAGGGTTAGCTTACCTTTAAACTGTGGTATCTCCCCCGTGGGGCTTTTAGGCAGTCCTTTATGGCATGCATCGCTAGTCAAGGCCACAGTAACTCCACAGCTTCCAAGCAAAAAGCCTATTTGTTGACTTCCTGCATCCTAAGACGTGACAAAATAAAAGCAATACACAGAATTGATTAGAAGTGATTACAGGCTGAAAACGGTATTGTCCTTTGGCACATTATCTTGAGAGGATAACAGTCTCTTTCCTTGAAGCAACTTAGCTGGTTAGCAAAACTCATTTGGAGACTGACAAAGGAATTGCACAGCTGTCGTAGTTTAGGCCCATCCAGCAACCAAGCCCCACGCAGCCGCTCGCTCACTCACTGCCCCACGGTGGGACGGGGGAGAGAATCATAAAAGTGAGGAAACTCAAGGGTTGAGATAAAGACAGTTTAAGAAGTAAAACAAAAGCCGCGCACACAAGCAGAGCAAAACGAGGAATCCATTCCCCACTCCCCATGGGCAGGCAGGGGTTCAGCCATCTCCAGGGAAGCAGGGCTGCATCACACATAACGGGTTCTTAGGAAGACAGACGCCATCACTCCAAACGTCCCTCCACCCCTTCCTCCTTCTTCGTCCCAGCTTTATATACTGAGCATGATGTCATGTAGTATGGAATATCCCTTTGGCCAGCCTGGGTCAGCTGTCCTGGCTGTGTCCCCTCCCAGCTCCCCGTGCACCCCCAGCCTTCTTGCTGGCAGGCCAGCACGAGAGGCGGGACAGTTCTTGGCTGTTTAGCAACAACCCAAATCATCAGCATGTTACCAACATTTTCTCATCCCAAATCCAAAGCATAGCCTCACACTAGCTTCTGTGAAGAAAATTAGCTCTAGCCCAGCTGAAACCAGGACAACAACCTAGATATCATCTTGTCTGTAACAAAAGAATCATAAAGAGAACTGAAGACATCAGATGGCATCTGCTCTCACATCTCTTCAGGAATGACAACAAGTGGCCGGGAGGAGGAGCTGGTATGCCAGAGGGTTGTGCCATCCAGAGGGACCCCTGGAGAAATGGGTTGACAGGAGTCTCACAAGTTCAACAAAGGCAAATGCAAAGTCCTGCACCTGGGAAGGAACAACCCCCTGCACCAGCACTGGCTGGGGGCTGACTGTAGCAGCTCTGTAGTAAAGGACCTGGGCGTCACGGTGGACACCAAGTTGAATGTCGGGCAGCAACGTGCCCTTGCACAATGGTGGCGAATGGTATCCTGGGCTGTGTCAGGCCAAGTATTGCCAGTGAGTTGACAGAGGTGATCCTTCCCTTCCACTCAGCACTAGTGAGGCACGTCTCAAGTGCTGGGTCCAGTTCTGCGCTTCCAAGACAAGGAGCTACTGGAGAGAGTCCAGTGAAGGGCCACTATGATAATTAAGGGACTGGAGCATCTCTCCTATGAGGAAAGACTGAGAGCGCTGGGACTGCTCAGCCTCAAGAAGAGAAGGCTTAGGGGGGATCTCATCAGTGTGTACAAACATCTGAAGGGAGGAGGTAAAGAAGATCGAGCCAGGCTCTTTCGAGTGGTGCCCAGCAACAAGACCAAAGGCAATGGGCACAAAACAAAACAGGGGAGCTTACCTCAGAACATCAGGAAACACTTTTTTACTGTGAGGGTCACTGGCACAGGTTGCCCAGAGAGGTTGTGGAGTTTCCATCCTTGGAGATATTCAAAAGCCACCTGGACATAGTCCTGGGCAACCTGCTCTAGGAGACCCTGCTTGAGCAGGGGAGCTGGACCAGATGACCTTCAGAGGTCTCTGCCAACCTCAACCATTCTGTGATTCTTTTATGATTCTAGGATGTAACACAGGTTATAGATGCTTCCACCTGGAGAAAGCTTTCAACCCTTAAGATGTTATGATGGGCATACAGTGGTGACAATATCAATATTTATGCTGATCTAACTTGACTTGTCAATAAGCATTTCATTGAGTAGTTATGGACACATTTCAGAAGCACTACAGAAAGTCAAGTGCCCATTAGAGAAAGCACATTACATTTTACTTTCATCAAGGGGATATAGACAGTGAGGCTAAAAAGTCATGTAATGATTTTCAAGTCTAGGTCATAGCTGTTCTTTAAGAGAAGCTGGGCTTCCACAGCATTATGTCTGCATTATATATAGTGTCTTGTCATGATTCTTTCATGAACTTTACATATATGCACTAGGCTCTTCAAGAGAACAAAGGCCTAGATGTAAATGCACATAGAAGTATTAACCCTTTCTTCACAGAATGATTCTACAGAAAATAGCCTACGGAGTATTGAAAGATCAAATTAAAAAATTTCTTTCAAATCAACCATAAAGCACACTTAACCATGGAAGCAACCAGAAATACAGAACAGTTGCCTTAATCTATTGATTTATGCAAAGCAAAACTGTATGATGGAGAGAAAGCCCCAAAGCCTATCTGACTAATTTTAAATGCAATTTTTATGTAGTCAAATAAAACCATCTAAAATAGGGAAGCAATGTGATGATGGTGAAAAAAAAACCTTACTTGTTTTCCATACCACCTCAAAATATCTATATGGCACCAATTATCAGCACTGTGACAGCTGAGCAAACAATGTGGGACAATGAACTGATCTGTCAAAACTATGCTATGTAACTATGTCCAGAATTACTTCATTTGCTTTCACTTACTACAACCAGAATGCATATAAAAACAGGAAAAATTGATAAGGTACTTTTTCAGGAAGGCTTTTTAAAATCAAGCTTGTGCATCATCTTTTCCAATAAAAAAAATAGACAAGGAGAGTATCTTTTGAGCAACAGAGAGTAATACTGGTGTATCAGTGAACAACATTTTGGGAACCATATTGTCAATCCCACCATACCTGCACCAGAGGGGCTTCCAGGACAAAAAGGGCTTTGTCAGGCATTACTGTCCTCACTGACTCTTGTGTTAGCTGGTCCACATTATGTTGTCAAGCCCCTGGGACAACTGCTTAACCAGATCGGATCCTGGTTCCACATTAGGATGAGACCTGGTGTCTCCACTCTTGGAGTCTGGCCAACAGAAGGAAGTGTAGGTGCCTGAACAGTGCAAGGAGAGATGGCTCTCCTTAGAGGTCCCTCAGAAGGAATGGCAGGAAGATGAGGGTTGGAGTGCTTCATGGAAAACATCACTCCTTGGGCAAGATGCAGCCTCTGAGACCTGCTACTCTATCATGTATAAAGGGAGGTTGCCAGTTTCTTAAAACATCAGATCCATACTACCATTACCCAAAATTTCCCACTAAATTCAATCTAAAAAATGGTTACCAATGTATGTATATGTATGAATTTCTAACTACCAATTTAAAAAACCATTGCATATGAATTTCATAACTGAATGCAGCAACTGCATCACTTTTTTAAATTAAAAAGAAAATGTTGTTGTAACTGTATGCCCCGTAAAAAAGACTGCTAGCAAACTGTTTCACCACTGTACCAAGCAAATGTCGATTCTCAAGCAATCAAACTCCATTTAATGCAGGACTTTACAAGCAGAAACTACCCTAATAAATTCCATTAAGAAAACTAACATATGTAAACCAGTAGAAAGTGTGGCCCTTAGAGCATCAGCATATCATGGTCCTGGGGGATACATCTGGGACCTGGAGGTCCCAGATGACTGGAGGCTTGGCAAT